CATTTATCGATTGGGTTATTTGTTTTTTTGTTGTTTAACTTTTTGAGCTCTTTGTATATCCTAGAGATTAATGCTCTATCTGAAGTGTGAGGGGTAAAAATTTGTTCCCAGGATGTAGGCTCCCTATTTACCTCACTTATTATTTCTCTTGCTGAGAAAAAACTTTTTAGTTTGAATATGTCTCATTTGTTGATTCTTGATTTTAACTCTTATGCTATAGGTGTCCTATTAAGGAATTTGGAGCCCGACCCCACGAGATGGAGATTAGGGCCAACTTTTTCTTAAATTTAAAATATTTCCTCATTTTAGAAATACCTTGGGGAAGAGTTCTAAGAAACAGTTTAACCACTATCTTAAAGGATCCAGTAGTAATTTTTTTTATGATGTAAGCAATCATCTCTCAAATTTATATTTTATAACATTAATTATCATTGTGAAATTAGGAACCAGGTGACAAAAAATTTATCCCTCTTAATCCTTTGTTTATAAATTTATTTTGTATCAGTTTTATAAATCTCTATAAAGATAATAAAACTATCAAATAGTACTATCAAATACTATTCAGTTATTTTAATACTGTATAACCCATAATAAACATAGCAAGTATATGAAGATATAAGCATGAGCTCAGGAACCATGAGAAATTATACTATCCCCTACCAGGCATGGTGGCACCTGCCTTTAATTCCAGCTACTCAGGAAGCTGAGACAGGTGAGGACAGCCTGGGCAATTTAGGAAGACCTTATCTCAAAAATAAAAAATAAAAAGGGATGGGGATGTAGCTCAGTGATAGACCACCCCTGGGTTGAATCCCTACTGCCACAAGGAAAAAAAGAGAGAGAGAGAGAGAGAGAGAGAGAAAAGTAAAAGTAAAGAAATTATAATGTCCCCAAAGGAAGGTGGGTGATTAGCAGCCAAGAATTTAACAAAAATAGAAGAAAAATTTGGTGGTAGAATTATAATCCTTAGCTTGCTCAATATTGTTCACATTTTTTTCAGATTCATAATTGTTGTGGCTTTAGAAAAGGTTTTACAACACTTAAGGGAAAAAATGTGAACTGAATGTTTTTAAGAGTTAASTTTTGGGAAGACTGAGAAAATATATTGTTTTAGGGTACTGTGAAGACAAAGTGTTATCCACTGTAAAAACCGTGTTATCCTATTTATAAATGTGTCATTTATACATTTAAAACATTTTACTAATTGGTTTGCAGTCTGTTCAGTTTCTTAAAATGGGATTTAATAAGTTATTTGGTAAAACCAGAACATTAATTTTATGACCTRAATTTGCCTTCTTTAAATTCCAGAGATGCTCCCTAATTTGTTGTTGTTGTTGTTGTTTGGCACCAGGAATTGAACCCAAGGGTGCTTAACCACTGAGATACATCCCCAAACCTTTTTTTATTTTTTGAGGCAAGGTTTTATTAAGTTGCTTAGGTCCCATTAATAAGTTGCTGAGGCTGGCTTTGAACTCATGACCCTTCTGCTTCAGCCTCTCAAATTGCTAGGATTAGAGGTGTGTGCCACCACACCCAGCCCTACTTTTAATATAAGAAGGGTTTATTTCATATTTATCCTTTCTACTATAAGCCCCTCCAGTAGTCCTATTTTATATCTACTTAAATACTACTACTTTTATGTCTTCTAGCATACTGTCTGATAAGCTGTAGAGATTCTGTAAAAGTTTATTAAATTTTATATATTTTTAAAATTTTTTCTATCAAATATGTCCTCCATACAGATATTCATATTTATTTTATTAAAATGTTTAGAAAAGATATTTTWAAATTGTCTTCATTACTGACTTACATGATCATATTTACTGAGAACTGTGGACAGAATGACCCCTTAATTTGGGCAGTAAGTCTCTGATCCACTTTCTGCCTGGCTCTCAGACTTCATCTCTACAACTTTTCATCTCATTTATTTTAGTCTAGCATTGTTGGACTCCTATGCTGTAATAAATTCATTTCTGCATCAGAATTTGTGCACTACTGTCCACTTTGTCTAGAATGRTCTTTTCCCAGGGCTTCCCAAGACTTTCACTTTAGTCTCTATTTAACTATCATTTTTGAAGAAGCCTTCCTGTTTTCCTTTAGATTCAAGGCATTCACTGCAAAATTGAGTGTGGAAAGTAGGGAATTTCCATGTACCTCCTGTACTTCCATATACCTCATGTACAGCGTCCCCCACTATTAGCATCCCATCAGAGTTGTACATTTGTTATATCATTAATGCACCATTGTCACCCAAAGTTCATGGCATAGTTGTATTCACTTTTGGAACTATACATTCTTTGTATTTTGAGAAATGTATGATGACATGTGTTCGCCATTAGGATATACAGAATATTTTCACTATCCTAAAAATCTTCTGTGCTTTGCCTATTTATCTCTTTCTCTCCCTAATCCCTCACAACCACTGATTTTTTACTATCTGTAGACTTGCCATTTCCAGAGTGTCATTTGAAATCATACCATTTGTAGTATTTGCAGATTGACTTTTTTCACTTAGTAAAATAATTTGTTTCTTCCATGACTTTTCATGACTTAATAGCTTATTAAAAAAACAAAAATTTCAAAAATTTATATTATGAAATTTATCCTTTTGATCATTTTTAATTATACAGTTTAATAGTGTCAGTTATACTCAGCATTGTGTAACAGATCTTTTTCATCYTGTGAAACTGAAATTTTACACTCATTGAACAACAACAACTCTCCATTTCTCATCCCCTCAAGTCCCTGGAAACCACCATTCTACTTGTTTTTATGATTTTTTTTTATTACTGTAGATACCCCATTTAAATGGAGTCATAAGGTATTTGTACTTTTGTGACTGGCTTATTTCATTCCTCATAATGTCCTCAAGGTTCAGCCATGTTGTAGCATTTGACAGAATTTTTCATCTTTTTTTAATGCTGAATAATATTCCACTGTGTGTATATACCACTTTTTCTTTATCCATTCATCAGACAACGGGCATTAGGACACTTCCACTTCCCTTTTTTTTTAATTATTTAAACCGGGGATTGGACACCAAGCCACATCCCAGGCCTTTTTATATTTTGTTTAGCGACATGGTCTCACTAAGTTGCTTAGGGCCTCGCTAAGTTGCTGAGGCTCGCTTTGAACTTACCATCCTCCTGCATCAGCTTCCTGAGCCTCTGGGGTTACAGGTGTGCACAATCATGCCCAGCTCCACTTCTTAACTATTGAAAATATGTTGTAATGAACATGGGTCTGCAAATATCTTTTTATGTGTGTGTGTATGTGATACTGGGAATGGAACCCAGGGTCTTGCATATACTAGGCAAGTAGTCCGCTACTGAGCTATTTTATTTTATTTTATGTTTTGGTACTGGGGATTGAACTCAAAGGCACTCAACCTCTAAGCCACATCCCTAGCCCTAATTTGTATTTTATTTAGAGACAGGGTCTCACTGAGTTGCTTAGGGCTTGCTTCCCTGTTGCTGAGGCTGGCTTTGAACTCATAATCCTCCTGTTTCAGCCTCCTGAGCCACTCAGATTACAGGCATGTGACACTGCGCCCAGCAAGCTATTTTATTTTTCAGACAGGGTCTCACTAAATTGCCTAGCTTAGCTTGAATTTGCAATATTTCTGCCTCAGTCTTCAAAGTACCTGGAATTACAGGTGGTACAACCACACCTGGCTGACTTTAGAAATTGTTTGGTTTGTTGTTGTTTTTCCAGTAACAGAGCTAGAACCCAGGGATGTTCTACCTCTGAGTACAACCCCAACCCTTATTTTTAATTTTGAGACAGGGTTTTGCTAAGTTGCTGAGGCTATCCTTAAATGTTTGATCTTTCTGCCTTAGTCTCCTGAGACACTGGGATTACATAGAAATTCTTTTTACTTTAAACTTTCACATCTAAAATAGGTCCTTCACCCCTTCCACTCTGTRCAACCTCAATTTTTCTTACTAACACTTGACATTGTACTGTAAATTTACATGTTTAGAATGTTAGTTACATAAGAACAAAATTTTGTTTTGTTCACCATTGTATCTTTGGAACTCATGAATGTCTGGAACAGGTACTTAGTAATAAAAATCTATTGAAGAGGGGCTGGGGTTGTGGCTCAGTGGTAGAGCGCTCACCTCGCACCTAAGAGACCCTGGATTCGATCCTCAGCACCACATAAAAATAAACAAACAAAATAAAGATATTGTGACCATGTATAACTAAAAAAATATTTAAAAAAGAATCTATTGAAGAGCTGAATAAATTGGATAAAATGGAAAATTTGTTTTTAAAAATTAAAGAGACAACTGAGTCTTCCTGTTTATCCAGGTTGGCCCCAAACTCCTGTGCTCAAGGAGTTCTCCTGCCTCAATTGCCCGAATAGCTGGGACCACAGGGGTATGCTATTTTAGTTGCTTTTGTTTTTATTTTTCTAAACTATATCTTTCCCCCTTTTTATTTTCAGAATATGAGTGATGCTATGGCAATTTTGCACAAACTTCAGACAGGCCTGGATGTAAATGTCAGATTCACTGGTGTTCGAGTGTTTGAATATACACCGGAATGCATAGTGTTTGATCTTCTTGATATTCCCTTGTACCATGGGTGGTTAGTGGACCCTCAGGTAAGTAGAAGAATTTAAATTATATAAATATAAATACAGAAAAAATATTAATTTTACAAATTAATCTTAATTTATATTTTCTGATGCTTATATTTTTGTGCTTTGATCCAGAATAAGCCAAATCTTGAGGTGAAGGGCATAGACTTCCAAACTATCAAATACTAAAGTCTGCTCAGATTTCTGATCCCACCCACAAGGAGTTAGGATCTAACTCCAAAGTTAGACAAATTGTCCCCACAGGATTATCCTCACCTCTCACACCTACAAGTTCAGAGGTTTCCCAAGAGTACCCTCAGGTTTAATAATTTTCTAGAAAGATTCCCAAAGTCTGTCCTGGGTTGTGGCTCAGCAGTAGAGCACTCGCCTAGCATGTGTGAGGCCCTGGGTTCCATCCTGGCACCACATATAAATAAATAAAATAAAGGTACTGTGTCCACCTAACTAAAAAAAAAAAAAAAAAAAAGCACTGAGTTTAAAAAAAAAAAAGATTCCCAGAGTCCACTAAACCTATGAAACTCACTGTTACAGGGAAAAGATATAGGTCAGCCAAGAAAAGAACTGCACAGGGCAAAAACTGGGAAGATTCCAAAAAAGCCTCTGTTGTCCTCCAGACATGTTATCTTTTTGAAATTGATATATGACAATATACATGGAATGTTGCCAATCCTGGCCCTTCAATGTTAAATTTTTTTATTGAGATTTTATTGCATAAACATGATTGATTGATTGCCCATATGGTTGAATTTAGTCTCCAGCTCTTCCTTTCCAGTGGGCTAAACTGACACCATAGTGTTCATGGGGCCCCCATGAGTCACCTCATTAATATAAACTGGAGGGATGGTCCAAGGGACCCATCTCAAATTACAAAGTTTCTCTTATTACTAAGAAAATTCCAAGGGTTTAGAATTTGTTTCCAGGAGACAAACTTCTGGCGTTTTTAAGGTCAGAACTCTCTTTGAGCAAGACCATATTCTTTATTGTACAGCTTTGAAAAGAGATTTTTTGAAATTTTTTTGTTTTTTTAGTTGTAGATGGACACAATACCTTTATTTTATTTGTTTTTATTTTCATGTGGTGCCAGGGATTGAACCCAGTGCCTTACACATGTTAGGCAAGCACTCTACCACTGAGCCACAACCCTGGCACCTGAAAGAGATGTTTTTTTAGATCATCCCAACATTTATTTTAAAAGCTATCTCATATTCCCATCATTCTTTTTTTTTTTTAAATAATATCTTTGTTTTATTTTTATATGGTGCTAAGGATCGAACCTACTGTCTCATACATGCAAGGCAAGTGCTCTCCCTGTGAGCCACAATCCCAGCCCTTCATATTCCCATCATTCGAACTGTTCATTTCTAAATATGCAGAGAACCTTGATATTTACTAGTTCAGCATTCCAGATTGTGCTTCTTAGCAAGTACATCAGGACCCTGATATGAAGTAGATGACACACCCAAGGATAATTGACAGAAGTTTAAGGAAGAGAGTATATTTATTTATAACGATGTGGTCAAAGTTGGGGAAACAAGTGAGGGATAATGAAGCATTGTAGAATTAACAAGAGCCAAAAACTATTTTTGCCCTTAACTCTGAAGAGACTAGGAAAGGGTGTAATTAGTAGAACTCAGCCAGACCAATTGTTGAAACATAGGTCTCGAGCTGTGGCCCAGCAGGGGAAGGGTGAAGGTAATACTTAACTCTTTTTTTTTTTTTTATTTGTTTTAATTAGTTATACATGACAGTACAATGACCTTGACATTGACTCTCTCTGATTTCCTCCAATATCTCTCATTGGCCAATTGTCTGGTAACTAGAGAGTAAGAATTCTAGTTGCTTTAATCTGTAGAGATTGACCTCTTGGCCTGAGGATGTAGCTCATAATAGAGTACTTACTAGCCTATGTGAAGCCCTGGTGCAATCCCCAGTACCACACCAAAATAAAAAGAAACAATTTCTTTATTATATACTAAATTTTTCTATAGGTTTAGTCTTCTCTAGTCATTCCTTTAATCTGTCTTCTTTCTACTCCTATACTATTTTACTATTTTTATAGCTTATTTTTATAATTTTTAAATATAAGGTAAAAAATGTCAAAATATTATTTATTTGAGAACTTTAAAGAGAAAAAAAAAGGAGGAGTAGTCACAGCAGATGGGGTCTCACTAAGTTGCTTGAGTGTCTTGCTGAGTTGCTAAGGCTGGCCTTRAATTTGCAATCTTTTTGCCTCAGCCTCTCAAGTCACTCGGATTACAGGTGTGTGCCACTTTGCCCCACTACCTTTTATTATTATTATCATTATTTTTTTTTGAGAATTTTAATATTTATTTTTTAGTTTTCGGTGGACACAACATCTTTGTTTGTATGTGGTGCTGAGGATTGAACCTGGGCTCCACGCATGCCAGGCTTGAGCCACACCCCCAGCCCTATTATCATTATTATTAAATATTTAATTTTGAGATAATTGTGGATCCACATGCAGTTGTAAGAAATAATGCAGGGCAATTCATTGAACCTTTACCTAGTTTCTACTTTGCAATTTTACTTCAGTAAAATATCAAAACCAGGAAAATGATATTAACAAAGTAAAATACAGAACATTTTCCACCACCATAAAAATCTTGCCTGTTGCCCTTTTATAGCCACACCTACTTTTCTCCCACCTTCACCTTCTTCATCCTTGGCAACCACTAACCTGTTCTCCACTTCTATAATCTTGTTATTCAACAATAGTATATAAATAAAACAATATGGCATGTAATCTTTTATGATTGCCTTTTTTTTTAACTCATCTCTGGAGCATCCAGGTAGTTGTATGTATTAATATTTTGTTCCTTTTTATTACTGATTAGTATTCCATGGTGTGGTTATGCCACTTTAACTATTTACCTATCAAACTATTTACCTGTTTGTTTTTCTGTTTCTGGCTATTAAAGATAAAGCTGCTGTAGAGCTGGGGTTGTGGCTCACTGGTAGAGTGCTCACCTAGCACCACATAAAAATAAATAAATAAAATAAAGGTATTGTATCCAACTACACCTAAAAAAAAATGTTTTTTTTTTTTTTTTTAAAGAATAAAGCTGCTATAAACATTTGTGTGCAAGTTTTTGTTTTAATTTCTCWGGATTAAATGTCCAGATGCACAACTGCTAGACCATATGGTAGTGATATGTGTATGTGTGTGTGTATGTGTGTAAGAGTCTGCCAAACTATTAATTAGCATRTCTGTACCAAAAGTGTATATTCCCACCAATAGTATCTGAGTGACCCAGTTTCTCTGCATCCTTGTCAGCATTTGACGTTGTCACTATTTTTTATTTTAGACATTGTTATGTAATCATGTTTCATTACTTTTCAGTTGCCTGTCTTTAATCACTAATGACATTGGGCATCTTGTGTGCTTGTTTGCTGTTCAGATCTCTTCTTCAATAAAATATCTCTTCATTTCTTTTTCCCATTTTCTAATTAGATTGGTTCTTTTCAGTTGAGCTTTGAGGTTTCTTTTTTTTTTTTTTTTAAAAAGAGAGAGAGAGAGAATTTTAATATTTATTTTTTAGTTATCGGCGGATACAACATCTTTGTTTTCTATGTGGTGCTGAGGATCAAACCCGGGCCGCACGCATGCCAGGCGAGCGCGTTACCGCTTGAGCCACATCCCCAGCCCTTTGAGGTTTCTTTATATATTCCAGACACTAATTCTTTGTCAGATGTGTGTTTCACAAATATTTTCTCCTAGCCTAAAACTTGTTTTTTCATAATCTCAGGAAGATCTTCACAGAGCATAATTTTTTAATTTTAGTAGAGTTCAGTGTATCTGTTTTTGTCTTTATGTCTCATGCTTTAGTGTTAAGTCTAAGAACTCCCTAGCTCTAGAWCCTAAATATTCTCTTATATGCTTTTTATCCTAAATATTATATAGTTTTGTGCTTTACACAAAGTCCATGATCCATTTTGAGTTAATTTTGTATGAGGTATAAGACTTTGGGTTATTTTATTTTATTTTTTATCTATGGATGTCTACTTGCTCTAGTACCAGTTGTTAGCACCAGTTGTTAGCACCAGTTGTTAGCACCTACCACCTCAAGCAATTTTAGAACACTTTTATCATCCCCAGAAGAAGCCCTTTCCTGTTAGCAATCATTCTCCATTCCCCTCAACCTTCCCATTATATTTTCTGTCTAAATATTTGGCTATTCTGAACATTTTATATAAATTAAAATATATAATATTTGGTCTTTTGCAATTAACTTCTTTCAAAGTGATTGTACCTTTTTATACACCCACCAGCAGTGTGTGAATGTTCTGTTTTCCACATCCTCATCAACACTTCTTAATTATCTCTCTTTTTTATTAAAGCCATTCTGGCAGGTGTAGAATCATATCTCATTGTGGTTTTATTCATGTTTCTCATCCAATGTAGTTGAACATATTTTCATGGGCTTATTAGCCATTTGTATATCTCCTTTGGAGAAACATCTGTTTAKATCCTTTGCCTATTTTAAATTGTTATTAGTCTTTTGTTATTAGTTACAAGAGTTCTTGTTACATTTTCACTACAACCCCTTATCAGATATATATTTGGAAATATTTTCTGCCATTCTATGGGTTGTCTTTTTATTTTCTTCATGGTATCTTTGGAAATACAAAAGGTTTTATTTTCATGAAGTTTAATTTATCCATTTATTTATTTTGCCTCATGCTTTTGGTATCCTAAGATGGTTTTGCATAACTGAAAGTTACAAAGGGGGCTGGGGATGTGGCTCAAGCGGTAGCGCGCTCGCCTGGCACGCGTRYGGCCCAGGTTCGATCCTCAGCACCACATACAAACAAAGATGTTGTGTCCGCCGATAACTAAAAAATAAATATTAAAATTCTCTCTCTCACTCTCTCTCTCTCTCCCTCCCTCCCTCTCTCACTCTCTCTTTTTTTTTTT